CAATGTTTTATTCTGGAAAAAGTAAAATTTTACTCTGCAATAAAGTAAAAGTATACTCTGAAATATCAAAAAAATTTACTTTGAAAGCACAGGCTGAGCACAACCATTTCAAACCTTCACACCTACTGAACAAACTCCATTATAAGTTCATTTACATGAAACTTATTCACCCACATTAAAAAAATAAATTAAAATGTTAAACTCAACCACAAAGCAAATTAGAAACTTGAACAGACAACCATTCAAAAACATAGTAAAAATGTCTTTTATTGTAATGTCTCCTTACAAATCTAGTCTAAAAGACTATACTATTATTGCTATGGATTATTTATTGCAGAAGAACTGCATTATTTTCATACTTCTATTTCAAAATCAATAATGTCTTTCTTGGCAATGTGTGACGACCCTCACCTCTGATTAGTGCTAATCTGTGATTAAGCATGATAAGAAATTGATTAAGTTGAAATCCTTAATTAATTGTGTGAGTGTGTTGTTTAGAATGCATTTCTATCTGTTTACCATAGAATGATCTGTTCACGTTTTAATTTCGAATTGCAAATTGAAAGCCATATCGGTGCCCGATTCAGAAATTGATTAGTGTTGTATGCTAATTAGAATTTATGTGATTTTATGATAGGTTTAATTAAACTTTGATTTGGTATGATTAATTAGATTAAATAATGTTAAATTACATTAGTTGAATTTATTACACAATTGTCATTAGTTAATTTCATTTGTGATGCATCACTCTTCATCCACCTCCTAGACCAAAAACGTGAGAGAGAGAGAGAGAGAGAGAGAGAGAGAGAGAGAGTTGAGAGAGATTGATTTCATCTAGAAATTTGGCTTGGATTTAGAAGAATCAAAGGGAATTTTGAAGAATTGTTCATTGGCTTAAGGACCTTGCTTAAGTAAAGCTTAATTGAAGAGCCTAGGTAAGAGCTCAACCCTTTAATTTTGTTTTTGAGCCATCTTGAGCTTGTATATTAATGAAATAGGTGAATTCATGGTTAGTTGAGTTAGAATTTAAGAGAGTGAAGCTAATTCATGCGTGCATGTACATGTTCTTGAATTTTAAGGTTGCTTTCATGAGAATTTCTTACATGCATGTTCATATTTTTGTTGTGGTCCAAGAATTCACCATGTTTTAGAGCTCAATCTTGCATTTGGTCATGTTTTGGAACATTAGAGTTCATGGGAACTCATGCATGTTAAGTTCTTGTATTGTTCTCCAAGTTTCTTTGAAATTGGTGCTCAATTGGCTTACCTTTGGGCTTTGATTTTGAAAAATAGTCTTCAAAACATGTTGTATTATGAGTTTCCAAGTATTTTCCAAAAAATTGGCCCAAAAGATTGAGTTTTGAGGTGTTGAATGCTTGGTTTGAGCTTTGGAGGCAAATCTGGAAAACCCAGAATTTGGCTTTCTCGCTCGAGCGAAGGATTCCACGCTTGAGCGAGCACCTTCGTTTTCTGAATTTCACTCGAGCGACGGAATGCTGGCTCGAGCGTAGATTGCAAGCTCTCAGGTTTTTGTGGACGTAGATGCACGCTCGAGCGACGAGACCTGCGCTCGAGCGAAGGATTGTGTCTCACGCTCGAGCGAGCATCGAGCGGAGAATTTCAGCAACCAGTACTTTTTGCATTTTTACAGACCACTCGAGCGAAGGAGTTTACGCTCGAGCGACCCCTCTATTTTGGTAAGCTCGCTTGAGCGATGGAAGCTACGCTCGAGCGAGACCCCTGTTTTCAGCAAATTTTAAAAGTGTTTTAAAGTACATCTCTGCATCCTTATTTCATCCTAGGCATCCCTAGGCCATATTTAAGGCATCTTAATGAGGATAATGTTATAGAACCACACCAAGTCAAGATAGGGACTAAGTTGTTGATTCCCAAATGTGTAACTTAGTGTGTGTTCATTCTGCAACTGTGTAGGGTTGGCATCCGAGGACGCTCATTAGCTTGCCTATAGTCCAGTACTCTGTGAGTAACAATGTTGTAAAGATACGTTCAATTATAATTATTTTCTGAATGATTGACTGGACTGCTTTCTGAAACGACGTTGTTTACTGAACGAATGTTTGTTCTATTTGTAAACTGTACTTGTGGCATCCATAGCAACCTACTGTTCCTGTTACTGTTAGTGCTGCTGCACTGTACTGTTACTGCTACTGTCACAGAGATCTCTGTCAGTTCCAATAATTGGAACCAATACTGTATACTGTTTTGATGGCCATCAACTGACTGTTCAGTCTGTTAAGACTGACTATTTACTGTATTGTTCTGCTATGGGATGTACCACATATGACTGCTATGGTTTCTAAATGACTGTTCTGACATGAACTATTAGTCACTGATTGAACAATTGATCCACTGATGCAAATGACTGTTTTAATTACTGAAAGGACATTCATTCTTAACCTCTTTACACAGTTGTTATTCACTGGGCTTTAGCTCACTGTTTATATTTATTCACTGGGCTTTAGCTCACCTAAAGAATCCATTAATCAAGTTCAATCCCCTTTGTCTAAAGGTTCTGTACTTGCGCATGACATGACTTCCATAGAAGTTCTGGTTTGAAATAACACTAAGGAAATGATAAGGATGACTCTTAGCATTACGTGCCGAGATGTAGCCGGGGAGAACTGCATTGAGGGCAAGAAGGCAACTGTTCTTTGGTCAGGTAAGATTCTAGCATGTTGTCTTTGTTCAACTATCTTTCAGTAGATAGCAACCTTTTAACTCAATTAGTTAGAAAATACTCTTTTTTAATTTTCAGGAAAATAAGGAAATATCAGAAAATAATTATTGCTAACTTTCAAACCAAGGAAATAATCTCTGATTTTTAGGAGGAAAATAAGGATTATATTAGAAAATATTAGGAATTGGTTATAGATTTAGGAATTAGGAATTAGTGTATATTAGGAATTAGGAATTAGTGTAAATATTAGGAATTAGGAATTAGTGTAAATATTAGGAATTAGGAATTAGTGTAAATATTAGGAATTAGGAATTAGTGTAAATATTAGGAATTAGGAATTAGTGTAAATATTAGGAATTAGGAATTAGTGTAAATATTAGGAATTAGGAATTAGTGTAAATATTAGGAATTAGGAATTAGTGTAAATATTATCAGAAGGTGCGTACCTTAGAAGACTGATATTAATTGGCTGTATCCTACGAGAATGGGAAGCCGAATATAATATATGTGCCGAATAAGTGTAGATCCTTAGAGCCGAATAAGAGAAAGGACAATGATTAAAAAGTAAGCCCTGACCCCGAGGATCAAAAGGAACAGGTATAAATACAAGAATAATGGATTGAGAAAGGTATGTAAGAATCACTTCACTTAACTTAGTAAATAAGTTATCCTGAGTGTCTGAACTGACTTGTCCGTCAGAGTGCTTGTGGGAGCCGAATAAATAGAAGAGTCGGAAGGTGCGTACCCCAGAAATCAGATATTATTCGGCTCCATATTATGTGACTAGGATGCCGAATACGTTAGGAAGGCCGAATAGCCGGAGATCAGTAGCTCCGAATAAATAAAAGGGGAATGGGATAAAAGTAAGCTTAGGCCCCGAGGCCCAAAAAGCAAGTATAAATACAAGAACCACAGATTTAGAAAGGTATGTAAGAATCACTTCACTTAACTTAGTAAATAAGTTATCCTGAGTGTCTGAACTGACTTGTCCGTCAGAGTGCTTGTGGGAGCCGAATAAATAGAAGAGTCGGAAGGTGCGTACCCCAGAAATCAGATATTATTCGGCTCCATATTATGTGACTAGGATGCCGAATACGTTAGGAAGGCCGAATAGCCGGAGATCAGTAGCTCCGAATAAATAAAAGGGGAATGGGATAAAAGTAAGCTTAGGCCCCGAGGCCCAAAAAGCAAGTATAAATACAAGAACCACAGATTTAGAAAGGTATGTAAGAATCACTTCACTTAACTTAGTAAATAAGTTATCCTGAGTGTCTGAACTGACTTGTCCGTCAGAGTGCTTGTGGGAGCCGAATAAATAGAAGAGTCGGAAGGTGCGTACCCCAGAAATCAGATATTATTCGGCTCCATATTATGTGACTAGGATGCCGAATACGTTAGGAAGGCCGAATAGCCGGAGATCAGTAGCTCCGAATAAATAAAAGGGGAATGGGATAAAAGTAGGCTCAGGCCCCGAGGCCCAAAAAGCAAGTATAAATACAAGAACCACAGATTTAGAAAGGTATGTAAGAATCACTTCACTTAACTTAGTAGAGAAGCTATCCTGAGTGTTTGAACTGACTTGTCCGTCGGAGTGCTAATTCCGGCACCCCCGACCGGAGTGTTTGTATCTTTTCAGGTGACTAGCTGAGGATCACTAGCGTCTCCAAGGATCTTAAGAGTATTTCCAAACCTCTTTCACCACAGTAATCAATTTAGTTTGCTTGCATAGAGGGTTTGTCTTCTAAGCCCTTTTGTGCATAATTCTTTATCATCATTGGAGAATTAATCCACATTGCATTCCTTTCGAATTTATCAATCCTTACCCATTCTTTTTTGTTTCATTATTTCTAAAGCACTTAACCTATGATTCATCGTGTGAATTGTTATTTCAAATTGAATTTCTTTGATACCAGAGCCTGTTAAACTTCATTCACTTTGGAAGTTGCATCAACTTCTGACATGCTGTGGAATAAAACAGTAGTAGTTGTGGAATTCTGCTCTATAATATGTTAATAATCCTGTGTGAAAATTTAAATTGTTGTTCTTCGATGTGAACATCTCTGAGTCCTGTCTAGGACAAATGTTTCACCTGGCTGCTCATGAAATAAGATGGATTTCTAATGTTATGTTTCTCATGTGCTCTTGGGGCTCATTTAGATGGTGTCTGTAGAAAATGAGGACCTTGCTGGTTTGGAAGATGTAAGTTTCAAAGAAGAAGACAATAACTATGAGGTTGAGTTAACTGATGAAGAAACAGCTGCATCTGGAATTCTAACTGGGAGGAGGCCTTATAGAAAGAAAATCCATGGTATTGTTTTGTGTAGCTAGTATCATCCTAATACGATAATTTGAAGAAGTTGGTGATCATGTTTGATCATAGGCCCTTTTTCCAATCATTTGCAGTGGATAGTGCTGAATCACTTCCCTTGATGGAAGGTGAAGGGAGATCATTTAGAGTAAAGGGATTCAATCAAAATCAAAGGGCTGTATTTGTTCAGATTATGATGAGGTTTAGTTTTGAATGTATATTTAAATGCAAAATCAACTTATTTTATTCGTATTCTAATAATGATATATTTGTACTCGTATGTTGGTCTTTAATGATATAGATTGTTTGACAGATTTGGAGTTGGGTAGTTTGACTGGGCAGAGTTCACGCCACGCTTGAAGCAAAAGACTTGCGAAGAAATTAAAGAGTACGCAATATAATATCTTCTTAATATTTGGAATCTTCTTGATTAGTGACTTGTAGTGATGCTAAAATATGACTGCAGCATTTTTGTTAATCGAAAACTTTCATATTTTTTTTTTATTTTATTGTTTATTTATTTATTTGCAATTTTGTAACAGTAGGGTGCATTGATTTGTGGTTAATCTTTGTTGTCCAGATATGGGACTCTTTTCTTGACACACATCGCTGAGGATATTACTGACTCACTAACCTTTTCAGGTGATTATTTATTCTAGTTAGTTTTTTTGCTGCTCTTTCTACATCTTTTATGACCCCTCTCTCTCTCTCTCTCTCTCTCTCTTCTTTTTTGTCTGCTATTAATTTGTTGTTCTCACTCATTATTTTGCTGCAGATGGTGTTCCTAAAGAAGGACTAAGGATAGAAGATGTACTTGTTAGGATTGCAGTGTTACTTCTGATAAGGGACAAAGTAAGTTTTGTATGCTTGATGAAAGAGTTCCACTTGGTTGGTTAGTACTTTTGTAGCTTTGGATTTTTAAAAGAGTGGTCAACTTGGGAATCATCTTAAAGCTATGATTTGTGTGGACTATTGTTCTCCTATCCCTCCTTATTTCAAATAGTGTTTAAATGGTGAAAGCCTGGTTTTTCCATTTTTAACTTCCTAACATATAGGTCTAGGATGCATGACATGAGTCTTAAGCATTGGTGTTTTTCATTTAAAAAATTCAATTTAAAAAAGAGTTACAATAAGTTGAACTCTTAGTTGAAGCAATCCATGTATGCACATTGGCATGGATTGAAAAATCCATAGAACCTTAATTTTGAAATGCTAACTCATTGCACAGAAGTCTAAAAAATTATTATCCTTTCCATTGGTAGTATCATGGTATGCCCCCTTAAAATCTATCAAGCAGTCCTTAAATGTAAATGTTGCTTCAATGAAGATTTAGAAATATCATATATTGAATCTTAAAACTGTTGTGGTAGTTTTATTTAAAATTTTAACTATAAACCTTTTTGTACAATGATAGGTGAAGGCTGCATCGGAAAAGCCAGGCACTCCCCTTTTCCCAGATGACATAGTATCTCGTTTCCCAGGATTGAAGAGTGGAAGGTTTTGGAAAGAGCATCATGATCTATTACTACTCCGTTCTGTATTAAAGTATGTTTCTTTTTTATGTTTATTTCTCTTTTCTGTTCTAAAAAGAGGTAAATTGAACGAAATGGAGATAGAAAGGAAGATGCATCCTTTATAAAGAAGGGAAAGATATGAGAGAAGTATTAAAGTACATAGCTGTAAGTTATAGTTTGATGGGAATTTTATGTGTTGGTGACAATTATTTTTTGATTTGTTTAATTTGATTGACAACCACGGTTTTAGATTCTATGTTATGGTAATTTGGTGCAAAACATTTTCTAGATACACTCTGTGAGTTACTTGAGAAAAAATAAATAAATAT